GAGCAGATAGAAGCAGAGTTGTGGCTGCTGCTGCTGCTGCTGCTTGTCTCTCAACTCTGGTACTGTAAGTATGGTATTATAACTTTTTTTCACGGCATAATTTATGCACACTTTATGCAAATTTTTTCTCTATAAACCGTTGCCGTAGCGCCAAGCTGAAAGGATGTGTGGATCCGTGATGTGGTTGTTGTTTTGTTGTCTGATGCAAACTGTAAGCGGGCTTTGTGGGCGAGAGATATTCACTGAATGTAAACGCTCTATGTACACGCTCGTAATTATACATTTTTGTAAAAGTTTTTGCCACTCAGGTTGAGCGACTCTGCCCTCCTCCCCCACGCTCCCTCTCAGCTGGCGCTTAATTTTAATGAAAAAAGTTGGGCAGCTGGCGCGTGCCGGCAAGTTCTAATTGATTTTCAGATTGATATGCAAAACAGCGTGTCCACAGTTTGGACACGCCCCCGTGTCATCTGCCCCCTGGCTCCGCCCGTTTGCCATACGCCAAGTTCATTCAGTTGACATAAAAGTTGGGCTCCCGCCAATGGCCATATAAATTTTCAATTAAAATGCCTACAAAATGCTAATGATCGTTTGATATGCAACTCATTTGCAATTTGTATACGCGATTTTTTTGGATTTTTGTAATATTTTTTATAATTTTGTTGTGTATTTTGAGAATTTATTGCTTTTGCTTTATTTCTAAACAATTTGGCTATCAGAAATGGGCTTTTTATTTTTTTTTTTTGATTTTTTAATTTTATCTATTTATGGGAATTGAGGGGCTTGTTTGTGAAGCGTATTGGAGATGGTCTCTTATATATACATATTCATAAAATATGTTAATGTCAGCTTAAAACTAAGCTAACTAAAGCTATGAAATACAAACCGAATACAATAATTATAGAGCAATTTTAATTACCTTCAAATATAATAAGAAACATTACATTTCTATTCATATGTGCATAGTAGATCCTTCTAAATGATCTGCTCTAATTATAATTAATGTGAATATTATTTAAAAAATATTTATAATTCATTTAACTCAAAATATTTTTCTTTGCTTTCGTTGTCGGCCTCTTCCTCTACCTTTCCCTCTTCCTCTTATTGCTGCTTACAGTTTCCTAATTCCATTCACATTCTTGCTGATTGGCTTCTATTGTTGCATTAGTATTAGTGAGAGCTTGTATGAAGTTGTGTAAAAATATCCAAGTGAGTTTGCGTTTTAGTTGCACGCTTCACACACTCTCACTTCGTGAGAGTGAGCGAGAGAGAGTGCCAATGATAGATATTGCAGAACGCCGTCTATTGTTGCTGAGCAAGAGCGAGATGGCTAGCTATGCTCTTTTGACAGGCTCGTTACGAGAAAGCAATTTGTAAAAAAAATATGTGAGAGCTCTGAGACAACGCGGACATATAAAAATGCATATGTATATACCAATTTATATATTTTTATTTTCACAATCAAAAATTGCATACAATTCTCTTACTATGCATATCTGCTGCCGTCTTCTTGTTACCTTAAAATACTTTAGTCAAATTACAATTGGAAAGGGCTTTTCAAGAAAAGCCGTTTGCAGAGTAAAAACGTCCCTGGTCAGTGCTTTGCTCGTATAGTTTCATAAAAAAAGTTTACTCTAATGCTCAATGTGCTGCAGGCAGCTGCTCTCCTGCCGCAGCTAGTTTGTGCACCAGCTGCACTTTAACTAAACTCTAATGCAAAATTCATGGCCAAATAGCCGGGACAGACTTGTCTGCATTTAAAATGCAGCCCGGAACATGGGCGACGAGCATGACCACAACAACAGGCCAGCTAGAGTGAGGGAGATGGGGCGAGCCGTTAAAGTGAGCAATGGCCGCCATTTTGTTTTTGATTGATAATGATGGGCACCCAGAGTTATGGCTTGCCTTATAAACGAGCTTACTCGCATACATATATATGAATATTTTGAAGGAAAAACTAACCGCAAATTAGCTTATTTGGCATTTTTACAGTCATTTTATTTAATTTACACAAACAAATTTGCGCCTGGCCAGACGAGGATGGGCTCCTTGGCAGCCCAGACCCCAGACCCAGACAATGGGCCGAGCCAACGAAGCGCGCCGCCAGCCTCATAAAAGTAATGAAGCTGTTTAGGCGTCTCTAAGTAGTCGTCGGTTGTCGACAACAACAACAACAACAGCAACAACAATGACGACGACAACGGCGAATCGAGTAGGACTCGCAGCGCCAACTGTGTGACGCCTGCACGACGAAGCAGCAAAAAAAAAAGTCAGGCGCAGGTTCCGGGTTTAGTTTTGCCTTTGCGTTCATTCAAAATTCATGAAGTTTGCCCCAAACTTGGCGCCATTTTAATGCCAGCTTCTCTGTATGTGTGTGTGCGTGTGTGTGTGTGCCTTATAGGTGTTGTTCTCTGCTGTTAACGCTTATTATTTTGCTGGGGCGTTGAAAGCAAGCGCAATTACCTCAAGCTGCATTGCAGCCAATTGCCCAAAAGCCTTTCAGCCTCAACTCCACATTTATTGGTTGCTCTTTAGTGGGTCGTCAGCAGCATGTGTGGGGCTGTGTGGCTCCACATCTATTCCAATTAGCCTGTCTGCTGAAATGCTAAACAAATGCAATTCATATTTGCTTAGCATGGCTCTCTGCAGATTTCGAAAGCCAAACTATTTATTTGCTTTCACTTTGACAAAAAGCCAGCAGCTGGGCTTTTCACAAGCTTCAAATATTTATGAATATTTGCCAGCTTGGGCAAGTGTTGGCCATTTAGCTGTTGGGTTAAAGCTAAAATTAGCTAAAATCTTTTCATCATATTTTCAAATTCAGAATGCAATCCACTATAACAGGTGGAATATAAGTGAAGCTTAAGACTCAACTTCTTCATTTACATATATGTAATATATATATCTATGCCTCCGTTATTCTATTTCCTCATTTGTTTCAAATTTGTTTTTCAGTTACTTTGTGATTGTCGCTAAATGTTTTTCATGTTTGTTTTATTTTTTATATTTTTGCCTAACAGCTCTCAATTTATTGTTGATGGGGAAATGTAAACAGAATTGCTGCTGAGTTGCTTACCGTCGCCAAGTTCTTTTTTAATAAAATCCATTTTCATACGTAATTTAGGCTGGATGAGGGCGGAGGGGCTCGGTGCGGGCATCGCGTACTGCGGATGATTTCCTGCAACGCCCAAGACAAAGCCGCACAACGACATTGCTTTGTGTCTGGCCATAATTTTGACAGGGCCTGACTAGGGCAGCTCCTTGGCAGCAGACAGCCGGCAGGAGCTAGCAGGACGCAGGCAAAGTCAAAGGCAAACGATTCGAGCCCATCGAGCGACTTGCCGCAAAGTTAAGCAAAACTTTGTTATTTGTTTTAAGTGGCAGGTTGTGCGGCGCACGCTCCAAGGACTGTCTTCTAGCTTTAGTTGCCATTTGCCAGTTGTGGAGTTGCCGAGCTGCCGAGCTGCCGAGCTGCCGGGCTGTCGTTTCGCTCAACAGTTCATAAAGTTAATTTTGCCACAGAAATTATGTTAAAACGATATATGGTAGCCAAAAATGTTGCTCTATGTGTGTGTGTGTCTAGTCTGGGCTAAATCCCCCGTAGCTATATGGGAACTGCAACAGAAGTTATTGAAATGGCAGTCGACTAGGCTAGGTTAAGGAACTTTTGTAACTTTTGCAACCCCGCAACGTGGCGTATGCGTAATTAGTGGCTAGGGTCTCAGGTAGTTGGCAATAGTTGCTGGCCTACAACTTTTCTTCTTACTTTTTTTGGTTATTTATGAAAATTAAAGAGTCATAGAGACAGACAGCCATAGAGTGTGTGAGAGAGACAGCCTGGGGCTGGCTTATTGAACTGTCAGCGTTAAGCCAAATAAATTGCGCATACGACATGAGGCGCGACTTGGCGTTGGCAAAATGGCAAAACTATTTGCGAAAGTTCAGAGAAATCAAAGCACAGAGCGCAATCAGCGCATATAGTCAAGAACTTTTGATTATAACAAATGCTTTTGCAGCAGGCAGGCCAGACACACAGAGAGACAGCATCAGCAGAGACAGAGTGTGTGTGCGTGTGTGTGTGTGTGGATATATCTATATGCTTACATGTGGAGTGTGGGAATTAAGAGCAAGCGAGCAAAACTGACAGTTGATAATAAATCTTTTGGTCAGTGCTTTGTGCTGGCCATTAGGAAAGTGGCCAGGGACTTGGCCAACAATAAAAACCCAAATGCGAACCAAAATGTAATTTCTGTTTGGCACGAAAACTTTGAGCAACAATAGAGACTGTAGCCAGAGTATTCACTTCATATCTCTAGTCAGTTAGCAATAGACTTGAATGTCGAAATGATTGCGGGGCTTACTGGGAGTATATCGCTTTTCAAAAGAAATTCAACTAATAGCGAAGGCTGTGAACTGTGAAAAGTCTGTTGAAATGACAATTCCAGGACTCAAATGAAAGTTGATGAGATATTTTGAAATCTAAATTGAACTCAATAGATAGAGGTCTGGCTGCAAGGACCTTCTTTCAATCTAAATTCTCACAATAAATATTATCACAATTTATCAACATTTTCTTTTCCAATTCATAGAGCATCAGGTCTTCGACTTGTTTTCGCTCTCATGCCCAATTCGATTTGCTTTTATTTATTTCAATAAAAAAGGGGGGAACCTGCAAAAAAATGTAAAGTAAAGTAACTTCCGCTGGCAGAACTGGACTTGGGTCCAGTCAATGAAAAAGTTTGTCAAGAGCCAGCGGCAGACACTTTTCATTAGCAGAAAGTCCCTCTTTGGTCGAGGATACAAGCAAAGTTTTCAGCAAGTTTTCCCGCCTCTCGCAACTTGTTTTTTTTTTTTTTTGGTCAAGTGACCTCTGCATGTGGCAGACATGCCACAAGTATACACGAGTAATGCTGTAATGGCATATGTTTTGTCAGGCAGCGTGTTGTAGTGGATTTTTCTTGATCGCAACTTTTTTGGCACTAACAAACTGTTTTTCTTTGCAGACTTGGCAAGCCGTTAAGCTACCACTGCAAGCAGGCAGGCACAGCGGTAAGTGTCAAAAATGCTTAGAGTCTGAGGTGGTGCAAGCGACTGAGTGAGTGAGGCATGAGTGACATTTGCCAGAGCGCCTAATTGTAGGCAATTAATTTGTGGCACATCAAAGCAAAGAAAAGGGCCGCCCCAAGCCCTGAAAGAGCAAACAGACGGAAGACAAGAGCAAATGCAGCTGGTGTCCACTTTAGGTGGTTGTTTCCGGTGTCGCGGACGTGGCATGAGTAACGTGAAGCGTGGCAAACCGCACCTTTTAACCCTTTTTGCCTTTGCCACACGCCATTTGTTTTCCAACTCTGAGGGTTGGACACAGGCACAGACTGAGACGCAAACGGAAGCACATGCAACTCTCTAATACGCTAGGCAAACAGAGAGAAAGAGAGAGTGAGAGGGTGAAAGAGGCGCCCACTGCTGTCCCACTCCAGTGGGACTCGTCCGAAAAGCAATTTGCCTAACATTGCCAGGGCGTTAAGTAATAATGACCCCAAAAAGTAGGAGAGCATATTGGCTGGCCTCGCTGCCGTATACGCAATGTCTATCTGCACAGCCTGTGTGTGTGTGTGTGTGTGTGTGTATTTTTTATCGTTCGGTTTCGGGTTTTCGGTTTGTTAGCAGGACTTTGGTCCTTTCGAAAGTTATGCTCCTGTGCTGAGGTCAAATAAAATATTTATGAATTGCAGGCAATGCGGGGCGGCTTAATTGCATTAGAGCTAGATGTATTCCTCGATAAGTCTGGAGCAAAGTAGTCATATGAACCCAGCCAGGGTGTCAGCAGAGGAGGTGGGGCCAGAGCGGCAGCAATTGGATCGGCTTTTTGGGTAATTGTGGCTACGGGGCAAAAGGCATTACAAGCATAGAAACCAGCCCGACAGCCCAGCTGCTAGGGTGGAGCTAGCGGAGTGGGTCTGCGGTTGCTATGTCGCTTCTGGGGGCACTTGCGGCGAAAATTTGCGAAATCAATCGTGTGGAAATTGTACAAAATGGCTTTTCCTACACTAAATCACACAGGAAGGGGGAAAACACAAGTAAATACGACTGCAGAGAGCTGCCAATGACAAAGGTTGAGGCACAGAGGAAATTTGATGAAAAAGAAAGGCATTAGTAGAGCAGACAGAGGCGATGTGGGAGTAAGCAGTAACGACTACGAAATACCCTGTAAACTAGGCAGAACGGGAATAGAATATAAAAAGTGGGATAAAGAGAAGACGAAATAGTAGAAAAGGTGGCAAAGAATATTAAAATAATTCTCAAAGCTAGAGTAACGATTGCAAAATACCCTGTAAACTAAGCTAAATGGAAATGTACTGTAGAAAGTTAGATAAAAAGCAATGGAATAGTGGAAAAAGTAACAAAGAATAGGAAAATTTAGCTGGTAGTAAGAGTAAAAACTGCGAAATACCCTGTAAGCTAAGCAAGCTGAAAATGTGGAGATAATTAAGAGTCGACATAGAAAAGAATTGGCATTGGTAAAGCAGATAGCAGGAATATGAAAATATGTTGAATGGTAAAGACTTCAAAATACCCTGCAGTTTAGGCATGGGGAGTATTTAATATAGAAAATTGTGATTAAAAAAGGAAAAGTAGAAGTGATAGCAAGTGTATAAGAGAGACAAATCTACTAAAAGTAGGCGCATAGACTGCAAAATACCCTGTAAATGACATTGGTAGAGCTGCCTAGGTAGAGCAGGAATAAGAAATTAACTATAAGCTAAGCTAAACTAACTAAATAATTAGTAAACGCTACAAAATACCCTGTAAGGTGAAATGATTATGTTTTACGAAAGGCGCAATGTATAATATAATATTTAGACTTAAGTGGAACTCTACAATGCTTTACACTAATTCAAAGCAAGATGAAACAAATGTGAATACAAAATTATGCACATTTCACTTCACATTGAGTAACATGCATATTCCCTATGGGCATAAAAGGATTTTTAGTCACATATTACGTTCCCAGCTTCTACTTTTCATATTCTCAGTTCCCTTTTAAGTGCTGCTTTACTCGCACTCCTCTCTACCTCGCTTCTTCTCTGATTTTCAATAGACTTTTGCAGCTTATTTTTATTTATTTGCTCTTCACTTTTCATTGTTATTTTTGCCATTAAATTCTATTTCAACACATTCACATGCAAATCGCTATAGACTCACGTTCCATCTCCCTCTCAAATATGTAACTGCTATCTCTCTCTCTCTCTCTCGACTTGTATCTCTGCGCGTTAATGTGCTCAATTGTTTGTCTGCCTCGTGCCGATGCGAACATGTAAATGTTTGGGTCTTTCCACACTTTCTTGCTGCTGCTGCTGCTGCTGCTCATCGACTTTATTGTCAACGGCGCAGCGCAGTGAAAATTAATCAAAAAAAACTTTTACCAACAACATTTTCAATTGACAATTTAAACTTTTATCTCGCAAGACATTTTACATAAAAGTTTTGTGTTAAAAAATTTTGCTCAACTAAAAATGAAAAATGTTGCCTCCAAGTTCTTCCCCAATGCCTCAATGGGGTCCAGCCAGCAGACGCAGCAGTCGCAGCAATCGCTGGAGTCGCTCCAGTAGGCATCTCACAAGCTATCAAAACTTTTGACGCTTAACTTGCTCAGCACAGCGAGTGGGCGTGGCCGGGCGGAGGCTTTTCCTTTGTGCTTTGTGCTCTCGTTATTATTGTTGATGATAGCTGCGTGCATGGCAGCGCCTGAAGGGGTGGTCGTCCTGCCTAAGGGCTGCTGCTGGCCACCCCTTTTCATAGTGCGTGGAAATTGGTGGCATAAAAGCAAGCCAAAGCGAGGCTCTAACAAGCTTAGGCAATTTCCTCACACGCAGCTCAGTTCAGAGTTTATACGTGCTCAATATCAAGATTATGTTCTTAACATTCGAATTGCTTGTAAAATTACAGAATTTGTCGTCATTAATAGTGGTCATTAGTGTGCTTTTTTGGCGTTGTTTAATTAGTAATAATGTTATAAGTATAAGTATTAATTAGGGTAATATTAATGGTATTAGTATTGGTATTGGTTTTGGTATTGGTGTTGGTATTATTAGTATAAGTAACACTATTAGTATAAGCATTATTAATATCACTATTATTATCATTATTATCAGCACTATAATTAGTAAAGGGATTATTAATTATATAACTATTAATATCATTACTATTTCTCTATTAGTATTCGCATTATTATTAGTATCAGTATTTGTATAAGCATTATTATTAGTATTAAAATTAGTATTAGCATCATTATTGCTATTAGACTTATTATTAATATAACTATTAATATCAGCATTATTATTAGTATTAGTATTAGCATTATTATTAGTATTACCATTAGTATTAGTATAAGTATCCTTATTAATATTAGCATTATTATTAGTATAACTATTTGTATTAGCATCACTATTAGTATTATCAATATTATTAGCATCATTATTACTAATATACTTAATTTTAATATATCTATTAATATCAGCATTATTATTAGTATTAGCATTATTATTAGTATCACAATTTTTATTAGCATCACTATTAGTATTATCATTATTATTACTAAAAGACTTATTGTTAATATATCTATTATTATTAGTATTAGTATTAGCATTATTATTAGTATCACTATAAGTATTAGTATCACAGTTAGTATTGGCATTATTATTATTATTACATTAGTATCACGATTAGTATTAGTATAAATTTCATTATTAGTATTATCATGATGATTAGTATAACTATTAGTATTATCATTTTTATAAGTATAACTATTAATATCAGCATTATTATTAATATCACTAGTAGTATTATCATTATCATTAGCATCACTATTAGTATTATAATTTTTATTAGTGTCTCTACTAGTATTATCATTATTATTTGCAATATTTTTGTCATCTAAAGTCTCCTCTTCATCTGCACATCAGCAGGAAACTTTCTTCTGCCAGCTCTCACTAAAGCTAATTACAATTTTAACAATTTCTGTCACACATTAATCATCATTTCTTGTTTTGCCATTAGCCATGGACATTTTAAGTTTTATTCCATCCATCAACTGTGCGTTCACTTTGCAGCTGCCATCAGCCGAGTAGATGCGTCTTTATGTGTTTTAATTTCTGTCACTCTTCCTGATTTGCTGGCAAGCATAAACCTCTTAACTGGCATAACTACACAAACAAAAATGATTTTCCTGCTCAACGTATTTATTTACATTTTACAAGGCAGCACAAAACACACATAAGACTGAGCGCGGGGGCCGCTGGCTGCGGGAGGGATCAAGAGGAGTCATGAAACATGACAACAAGGCGCAAAATTATGCACAAAGTTGCCATTTGCTATCTCTCTCTATGGGTGTGTGTGTGTGTGTGTGTGTGTGTCAGAGAGCGATGAAATCCCAGCAGCGTTGTTGTTGCTACTGCTGTTGATGTGTGTGACAGCAGCGGCAGCAATCAGCAACAAGGTGGGTTGAAAACCAACAGACAAACTCAACCAGGCAACCCAAGCCCAGACACACAGCAAAATTCAATATGGCGGCAGGGTTGCCAACTTCTGACAGATGACTGCCTCAGCCTCAGCCTCAGCCTCAGCTTCAGCCGGCTCACTCCTGCTGCTAAGTCCCAGCACCCAACCTGCCTGTGTCCTCATGTGTGTGCTGCGTGTTGGGTTCTCTGTCTGAAAAGTGTGGAAATTTTGATAGCATTTTAAATGCTCTACACACACTTTTTTTGTTGTTTCTTTGGGGTGTTGTGGATGCTTTAAAACTATGCAAAGTATATAAATATTTTGAAGTGCTGCGTATGATGGCATATGAAGCTCACATGGCTTTCAGACCATGGTTAACTTTTTCATTATCTTAATTCCTTTTGGCTCTTGACGTATATGGGCTGTAAAACAGGTAGCATCATTCTAGGGCTTAGCCAGATTTGCTCTGAATATCTGCAAATAGATAGAATAGTGAAAGTTAAGAGCGATAGACTTGAGTATGTGCATATATATGGACAGATTTATGCGAA